TGGTCACACCATTCACACTTGTCCTTGGCGAGTAATTGACCAAACACCCCATCACCGTTGACCATAATCTGAGTGTTATCCATGCACATAATAGTCTTTACATGAGTATCTTTACCTACGTGGCTTTTTGGAGAAGTCTCTATTTCTATTTATTGTTATACGAGGTTTCCAACATGGATTTGTCCTCTTCTAGGTTTGACGATGACCAGAAATAAACAAGTGGCAAGCACGTGGGCAGACTCTAATCCAAATTTTGTAACGCCACCGCACATATTCTCTGAATTGCTGATGTGGCAAAATTTTAGACAAGCTTCTAATGTAAATTGTAAATGTGGGGCCCCATTTCCAGTTCCATAAGATTATTACCAATAAACAAATAGTTCAATGACTTGCCATGATATATAATTAACAACTTACACAATTTATAATAAACTCTCTGCACATGTCACTTCCTCTTTTACACTTTGGTACATCGAAATGCTTAGAATGGAAAGGTTTTTCCATCCAAAATGTTTTTTCAATTAGAATTAATGTTATTGAAAAAAAAATTCATTCCAATATTTCGTACGAATGTCAGGATGAAATGTTCATGTACAATCAATATTTAGACGTCAAAATGAAATAAAATATGTATAAAATTTACTTGATTGCCTTGAAATCTATTATTATATATTTTCACATGTGTTTGTTTATTCGTGCTATGTTATTTGTTACTTTGCACAAGGAACTTGACTCTTGTTTTAATATGCACGATGAATAACTTATGTACTTTTTTTTTTTTTTTTTTTTAGGTGTGTCCCGCAGGGAGTGGACCCCGCAGACTATTCACCATCCTCAGCAACTTGCTGGCAGCAAGGTTCGAACCAGGGACCTGAGGCTCCATCTTCAGCAAATAATTTGATTATAATATTTTATCATTTTTGAAATATGAATATTTATTATAAATTTTTTAATTTCAAATTATAGGACTGTAATTACATACTTACAACAAATAAAATCACATGAAGAGCTTTTCTTAGAATTTTGTGAAGAATGGGGTTTCCAAGAAAAAGGTGGAATGAACATTTATGAATTACGTGCAGGTTATTACAAAATTGGCAATCAACTTTCCATATCCCATTTTGCACATAAACACCAAATTCATGCAAAAAGGGCCAAAGAGCTCTGCAATCTTTATCAACTTTGGCTCGTCCAGGAACATATCGTTTTAACGCTGGCACAATTAGCAATTTTATGTAAAATAGTACCATGCATGCAGTATTTTTATTCACCAATCATCTAAAATCTCATGTTCATGTACGTACCGTAGACATTAGGCTTACTATATATTTTCCATTGTAGTTGGGCCGTTATTGGCACCACTTTTCTAAAATCTCATGTACCGTAGATATTATAATTCACATACCATAACCTTCATTTCTGCAAATTCCAAAGGACACATTAAACGTATGTTCCTAGCTGATTTCAAAATCATCCACTTGGATAGGAGGATAAATTTGTAATCTTAAGAAAAAAAATTTTCAATTTAAAAACTAAAACTAGCAAAAAATCAATTCACCTATCCAAAACTTATTTTCACTTTCTATTTCAATGGCCCTCAAGCAAAAAATCATAATAAATTAAAGGCTCCGTTTGGATTAACTATTTTTTGGGATGTTTTTGAAAAATTTTACTATAACAATGTATATTAAAAACTTTTACTATAAATAGTTTTTGAAATATTTGATATATTGTATGAATGAAATTTTTTTGAGTTATTTTTATTTGTGTATTACTGTAATATTGTATTTGAAAAACTTGTTTTTCAAAAAATGGCCAATCCAAACGGATAATTTTTTCCTATAGATTAACAATTTTATTTTCCTTTTTTTTTGTTTCTTGATTAATTAGTTATTAACGCGCCATCACATCAGGTATTCTTATTATTTAAGATTACTCACTCTTTTTGCATTCTTTTAAAAGAAGTTTAATTCAACAATACGACTGCATGCTATGCCCAACAAGATTGCAACTAGAAATACAAAGGATCCGATGATGGCAACGGTACTAGAAGATGATCTTGCCCTGTAGTAACGAGTAGCAAGAAAGAAGAGAGTATATTACCGACAAAATTAGCTAGTTTGCAATGCATTCGAAAATCTGCTTAAAAAAAACACCATGTTTATTGGCATAATAGTTCCTGCCTGTGGGCTAGCATTGTTGCAGTGAAAGTTTCTCGCAATGTTGGGCTTTGGTCCAGTTCGCATATACATAAGGTCGTACAGGGAAACTTCGTAATCAAATGATTATCGTTTTGACCACCGAATCAAACGACTTGCACCAATGGTATGGTATGATCATTGGATCATCCAGAGATCATTAGGGCTTTACTACAGTCAGCACATTAGAACCACTGCCCATCCATTTTCCATTAAAAATAAACCATCAACTATTGCTCCCTCCGGCCCATTATGAATCTCATGTTTTCACTTTACGAGTGTTTCAAAATAAAAATCACCATTTCAAATTTAACACATGGTTTCAATCTTATCATTTAAGAAAACAATTTTTAAAATCTCAAAACACATTTAACATGGAAACAGTTTGATTTAAAGGATACATAAATAAATTTACCAATATCACCTCATCAAAATATGATGATTATACTATCTCCACAAAATATTGAATTCCCAAAAACCACTCTAAAATTGGCTAATTTCTTAGAATATATGTAAAAAAAAAAAACATCACATAAATGTATCTCTAACAGCGGGGATTTCTCATTCTATACCTGTCTGACAACTGCTGAATTTCTGATGTCAGCCACAGCCGTGTGCTGACTGTGCACGGCTGCCTGACACCAGAAATTCAACAGGTGTCTGGGAGTGTCGGCCGCAGCCGTGCTGACTGTGCACGGTTGCGGCTGGCACTCCCTGACGACTCCAGCCCCTGTCGGATGACTTTGGGGGAAAAAAAAAAGCTTTTAAACATAATTTGGTTTTATAGCATGGCATGAAGGAAGAGCTCTTTTATAGCAAAAGGTGGCTGCCACTCGTACAAGTCAAAAGTGTGTAATGAAGATGATGGAATGGGTGACCCAACTAGGGATGGCAATAGGAACGGGCACCCGCCCCGCGGGGGGTCATTGGGGCGGGGGCGGGGGGCGGGGGGAATTTTTTACCCCCGTTTAGAAATGGACCCCACCAAATATATATATATATATATATATAATGATATTATCAATTATATTACTAATTATATATGTCTATTAATAAAAATTATTAATTGCTCATGCTAAATTTATTAATATATTTATATTAAATTCTTAACTACACTTAATACAATAACACTTTTTCTAAAAAAACACAATAATAATTTAGTAATTGTAGTTGTATCAAAAGTGAAAACTTGATTATTTTAGTTATATTTGTTTTATTATATTAAATTGTATTCAAATAATTTTTGTTTAATTATTTTTATGAGTTTCAATTGTGAAGTTATAATGAATAATAATTTGGTGATGCGTTAATATTTAATATTTGATTATTTGCTCAAATTTAATTATAATTAAGTTATATAAAAAAAAAATTTTAACTCCATGGATGCCCCCGTGAGGGAAGCGGGGCGAGGCAGGGCAGGAGTGGGTGAAATTAAAATGCAACAAGGCGGGGTTGGGGGAAATATCCCCTGCCCCATTGCCATCCCTAGACCCAGCAACTACAAAAGAAACAATATCGGAAGTGGATACAAATAATGTGAGCATTATTCTTCCTTTGTTGCACGTGTCTAAAAACTTGTCAACTTTTGATCATGTTTGTCCGCTCACTATGTAACTCCATTTTTTATGCCGTCAATATTCGAGGATGGAAGAATCAATTATGAAGATTTCTGCACAATGATGAGAAGCGGTACAAAACGGCCAAACAAGCGCTTCTAGTTCAAAGCTCCAAGAGCTTAAGCTTTATGACAGGATACCAAACAAGCTCTTCTAGTTCAAAGCTCCAAGAGCTTAGGCTTTATGACAGGAAAATCTTCTTCTCGGTTACAAATTACATTACTAAGTTGAGCAGCAGGTTATCGTTACTTTGACATTGAGATTCCAAGCACCTTGTAAGGCAGGCTTTCAGTTTGGAAATTTAAAGTATAGCATTCATTTTGTGGTTTGTTCCAGCTCAGTTGTTGCTCTTTCTGCTGTTTCCTCACTTTTTTTAACAACCTTCCTTTGGATGTCTGGAGAAGGGGGGGGGGGGGAATCTGGATGTCTAAACCTAGCATTTAATCCCCCCTTCTTTCTTGATTTATTTTTTAAATAAATGAAAAATGAAAATAACCTTTCGTATCACCGGTATGCATTCCGCATGGGAAAGATGGATCTGCTCTTTACTGGAAATCCATCCTCTCTTCATCACACACTTTTGACTTGCATGAGTCGGAGCCACCTTTTACTATAAATGAACTCTTCCTTCATGCCATGCTATAAAACCAAAATACGTTTAAAAGCTTTTTTTTTTTTCCCAAAGTCATCCGACAGGGGCTGGAGTCGTCAGGGAGTGCCAGCCGCAGCCATGCGATTGCGCACGGCTGCGGCTGACACTCCCTGACACCGGTTGAATTTCTGATGTCAAGCAGCCGTGCACACGACTGACACCAGAAATTCAGCAGTTGTCAGACAGGTTTGCAAAATTCATTCTTGCTGCCGTGCTGACTAGCACGGTAGGTATAGAATGAGAAATCCCTGCTGTCAAAGATACATTTATACGATGTTTTTTTTTTACATATATTCTAAGAAATTGGCCTCTAAAATTAGGACAGAGGGAGTATCTTTCAATTGGAAAAAAAAAAAAAAAAAAAAAACACACCAACAAGAAGTTGAAAGAAGATGAGCTAAAAAAACTGCAATCAGATCCATATACTCAGCATGGCTGCAAAAGCATGTAGCATCAGTGTCCTCATCTCTAGGCAAGTCGATTGCAGCTTTAATAATATACCAATGCATTAGAGAAGAAGATTATAGAACAACATTAACACTAATGCAACTTCTATTTCATAAAGAATTCCTTTTAACATTCGAATCAAAAAGATAAATTAGTAGCAATGGGAACCTCTTTATTCTCACTTTCTAAGAAGAGGAACCAGAACGCACATTTAACATGGAAACATTTTGATTTAAAGGATACATAAATAAATTTACCAATATCACCTCATCTAAATATAATGATTATGCTGTCTCCACAAAAAATTGAATTCCCAAAAACCACTCTAAAATTAGGACGGAGGGAGTATCTTTCAATTGGGAAAAAAAAAACACACCAACAAGAAGTTGAAAGAAGATAAGCTAAGAAAACCGCAATCAGATCCATATACTCAGCATGGCTGCAAAAGCATGCAGCATCAGTGTCCTCATCTCTAGGCAAGTCGATTGCAGCTTTAATAATATACCAATGCATTAGAGAAGAAGATTATAGAACAACATTAGCACTAATGCAACTTCTATTTCATAAAGAATTCCATTTAACATCCGAATCAAAAAGATAAATTAGTAGCAATGGGAACCTCTTTATTCTCACTTTCTAAGAAGAGGAACCAGAACGCAAGCAGCTTACAGAACAAAAATATCTAGCAAATTAGTCGGGCATACTATCTCAAAATCCCCACTCACCTGCTTAATTGTTTGCAAGTAGATGGCCAAGGGAAATGCAAGGTTATGTTGTCCTGCATTTTCACAAATTCAGAGGCATTAATCTCAAAGATCCACACAACTCTTTATGTGAAAACCAGCTGAACATATAGCGTCCAACTAGATCAGCATTCTGGAGTCACTTAGACAACTTTCGAACCATGCGCAGGCTGTTGAGGCACCTTCCATGGATATCCGTCTCTTACACCTTGACATATCAGGCCTTGTCAAATACATTTTACCATGGAAGCACTCTCCTGGATAAGAATTTAGACCTTATAATTTAAATGAACCATACAAGCAAAACAATAGCCTTGAGTCTGTAGCACACTTGACCTTCTTGCAAGGCAACTGCCATGCAAAATATATTGGACCACTAACAGACGGAAGAGAACAAAGAATTTCTTTTCCTTGTGTGCGCGTGTGAAGGGGAGATGATACATTTAAAGTGGCACTGAGGGGAACACAGTTCTCCAATCTGTATAAATGCCGCTAAAATACATAACCAACAAAACCGAGATTCAGTCAAGCAAGCATCCAGAACCAAAAGTATCATAGTATCAGAATTTGTCCCATGAAGGCTCCACCAGGAAAAAAAAAAGAGCGAACACGCACACATCTAGTGAAGCATCCATTCTTCTTCTCTATTGCCCCCTTCTCCTATATTTACCAACTCTGAAGCAGAAGTTACAAGTCACAACTTAATGAACTTGTTTTACAGTCAAACATTCCAAACCTTCCTCATGATGAAGTGGCACATTAACAAAAATCCTTTCGAAGATCAGCCTATGCGGCTAAACAAATTAGCCAAACAAGGAAATAGGGATGTTGCTATTCTATATGGTGGAAAAGACAACAAACTCGGTACTACACGCAAACTTATTTATTCAATTCCTTGTACTACTCTCACATTTTTTGACTCCTAATGCAATCAAACGCAAAAGGCAAAATTGAATGTTCGATTGAACAAATAAATGATTGTAAAAGGCAAAAGAATAGAACTACAAAACCAGGAAACAAATCGAGTGTAAATGTGATTACAGGTTACAGATCCAACCTAAGGTACAAGAAACTAAAAAAAAGTGTCCGCAAAACCCGAGGCAATGTCTCATATTTTAACCAACAAATATTACAATTAAAAAACCAAAAATCTAAAATTATCAAATATAGAATCAGGAATCTCCAACCTTGCTGGAATCAGGCACCAAAATCGGGAGAGATGGGATCAGATCCGACTACTACACACGGGCGGCAACGGCTGGAGCGGCAGAGGAGGCAGCTCCGCCAAGGAAGGAGAGGAAACCGGCATTGACAGGCTCTTGATCGTCCAAGAACAAATCCTCGGGAATTCTAAAAGCTCCATGAGCGCAAACAATGGCCAATCCAACTAAGGAAGCGGAGATGAGAAGCGATCCAACGGACGTGAGGACCGCCACAACTATGGTGGAGACGACTAAGATCAGTAGAGTCTCGCGATCGGAAAAAGTGCGGCCGAAGACAACGAGAGGCTGATCGGAAGGCCTGAAGAGGTAAAGGAAGCACCAGGAAGCGAGTAAGGCGAGGAGGACCAGGAGAGAGAAAGGGTGAGAGAGGAGAGAGAGCGCGAGAACGAAAGCGAGGAGGGAAATGTAATTGACGCGGAAATAGTTGAAGTTCTTGCGGATGCGGGAGGCGGCATCAGAGAGGTTATCGGGGCGGGAAAAGGCGGTGCGGTCTAGAAGTTCGGACCAGGGGCGACGCTGGGAGAAGCCCTGGCGGAGGGAGGAGGAGAGGCGGTTGATGAAGGAACGGAAGGCAGGGGTGGCGATGGGAGGCTGGGATTGGGGACCGCCAGGGGGGGCAGAGCTGGTGGATTGGGGACTAGAGATGGGGAGCGTCGGTTGAGATGCCATTCCTTATTGTTTTCTAATGGTTGGTTGCGAAGCAATGGAAGGGAAAGGGGAAAGGGGAAAGGGGAAATGGGGAAGTGGGATAGGGGAAAGGGAAGCCGGGAGGGGCAAATAGGCTTCGTTTCTGTGCTTTGCTTTTCGCGACTTGTAATAACAGGAGGAGGGGAGTCCTTGGCCACCGCGTAAATTAATTACTTAATTAATAATAATGGCAATGGCATCGGTGCATTCCCATTTCCCAATGGCGCGTGAGATGAGAGCCGCCGTCTCCCTTTGGCTCCGTTTGGATTAGCTGTTTTTGGGGTTGTTTTTCAAAAACAGTACTGTAGCATTTTGTCTTTGAAATATAAATCCGTTTGGATTAGTTGTTTTTGGAGTTGTTTTTCAAAAACTATATGAAAAACTTTTACTGTAGATATTTTTTGGATTGTTTTTAGAGGTATTTTTAAAACATATTTTTGGGTATTTTTATAATTTATAATTTTTATATACATTTATGCATTTATAATACATTTATAAATAAATATATTTATATATTCGCTAAAAAATATATAAATGTATTATATTATATATAATACATAATATAAATATATTTATAAATATATAAGTGTATATTATTATAAATGTATAAATTATAAATGAATATTATATAAATGTATAAATTACAATTTATAATTTATAATTTTTATATTTTGATATAAATATACATTTATGCATTTATAATATATTTATAAATAAATATATTTACATATTTATATAAAAATATATAAATGTATTATAAATTAATTATATTATATATAATACATAATATAAATATATTTATAAATGTATAAGTGTATATTATTATAAATGTATAAATTATAAATGAATATTATATAAATGTATAAATTATAAATTATAAATTATATATTTTTATATAAATATACATTTATGCATTTATAATACATTTATAAATATTTATAAATAAATATATTTATGTATTTATATAAAAATATATAAATGTATTATATTATATATAATACATAATATAAATATATTTATAAACATATAAGTCTATATTATTATAAATGTATAAATTACAACTGAATATTAGATAAATGTATAAATTATAATTTTATTAATATATATTAGTATTAAGTATAAATGTATTAATATAAATGTACAAATGTATTAATATTATGTATAAATATAAAATTAATATTATGTATATTAATATAAATGTATAAATGTATTATAAATGTATTATATTATATATAATACATAATATAAATGTATATTATAAATATACATTAATATATATATTATGTATAAATGTACATTTATATAAATGTATAATATATATAATATATAATATATGTTATATGATATACAATTTATATAATATATAATATTCATATAAAAATATAAAAATATTTATAATATGTATAAATAAATATATAAATATTTCAAATATATTATATATATTAATATTAATTATAAATATTATAATATTATAAATATGGTGTTTATATAATATTTCAATTTGTAATATTTATTGTATATTTCATTATATAAATATTCATATAATATATAATATATAATTTTCAATTTGTATAATATACATAATATTGTATATATAATATAATATACATAATATAATATATTATACATAATATACATTATTACATTATTACATATTATGTATATTATATATTATACATAACATTATTATAAATTATTATACACAATAATGTACATAATAATATTATACATTAATAATGTATATATTATAATATAATGTACATAATATATTATGTATAAATTTTTACACATTTATGTATACAATATTACATATTATGTATATTATATTATATTATGTATAATATACAATATTATGTATAATATTAATTTATATAAATATTTATATAATATATAATATATAATTTTTAATTTGTATATTTCAATTTATATTAATATAATATAATATATATATTTATATATATAATATACATAATTGAAATATACATATGTAGTTGTTTTTGATATAATATTTGGATATGGTGTTTTTGGAGTTGTTTTGGAAATACACATTTACTGTAGCATTTGGAATGTAAAAAACAGTTTTTCAAAAACAACCCCAAAAACAAGGGATCCAAACACACCCGTCCATATCCAAACATTATATCAAAAACAACTCCAAATATACAAATTTAATATGTATATTTCAATTTGTATATTTCAATTATTTATATTATATATTTTATATTAATATAAATTGAAATATACAAATTGAAAATTATATATTTATATGTTATATATGTTATATATTATATAAATATTTATATACATTAATATTATACATAATATAATATACATAATATGTAATATTGTATACATAAATGTATAAATATTTATACATAATATATTATGTACATTATATTATAATATATACATTATTAATGTACTTTCATTATTATGTACATTATTGTGTATAATAATGTTATGTATATTATATGTAATAATGTAATAATGTATATGTATAATATATTATATTATGTATATTATATTATATATATACCATATTATGTATATTATACAAATTGAAAATTTTATATTATATGTTTATATATTATATATTATATAAATATTTATATAATGAAATATACAATAAATATTACAAATTGAAATATTATATAAACACCACATTTATTAATATTCAAATATTTATAATTAATATTATATATATTAAATATTTATAAATAATATATTTATTTATTTATTTATTCATATTATATAAAATTTATTTATTTAATATATTTATTTATATATTTATAATATATTTATATAAAAAATATATATATTATAAAAAAATTTATAACATAATATATATTATATTATATAGATTATACATTTATATAAATGTACATTTAGACATAATATATATTTATGTATATTTATAATATACATTTATATTATGTATTATATATAATATTAGACATTTATAATACATTTATACATTTATATTAATATACATAATATTAATTTTACATTTATACATAATATTAATACATTTATATATTTATATTAATTATATTAATACATTTATACATAATATTAATATATATTTATAATATATTAATTTTTACATTTATATAATATTCATTTATAATTTATACATTTATAATAATATACATTTATAAATATATTTATATTATGTATTATGTATAATATAATACATTTATAATATATTGATATATTTTTATATAAATATATAAATATATTTATTTATAAATATTTATAAATGTATTATAAATGCATAAATGTATATAAATATATAAATTATAAATTATAAAAATACTCAAAAATATGTTTTAAAAATACCTCTAAAAATAATCCAAAAAACATCTACAGTAAAAGTTTTTCATATAGTTTTTGAAAAACAACCTCAAAAACAACTAATCCAAACGGACTTATATTTCAAAAACGAAATGCTACAGTATTGTTTTTGAAAAACAACCCCAAAAACCGCTAATCCAAACGGACCCTTTGTACCAAACTACTCATCGAGTAAACGAATGGAATGAATGAAGTTGCCCTAAGCTCTCAACACAAATTCAAGGCGGGTCTGGATGGCTTCATACTATAAAGATTTACTAGACATCAAGAAAGAAAGAGAGAGAAACAAGAAAACAAGAAAACAAGTGAGGAAACTCGGGGAAGGCCAGAAGTGTGCATTTGAAAAATACTAGTACTATTATGGGACATTAGCTACACTATCGCAAGGTTTGATTCAACCCTCAAGTTCTCACTTTTCACCAAACTCAGAGCTTTACATTTTGTCTTCGTTGAGTTCGAGCTTCATAAAACTAAATTTAAACTCGACTTAATTAGGTCAAAATTTGTTTCGACCCCTACTTCCAACATCCTCTGCCCGCTCCTCCTATTTTCTTCCCACATACAAAATAATTCCTATTATCTTCTTGCCCATATCATTTTTACAAGCCTCGCTTACAATTATTTTTATTTTTCTTTTTTGTTGCTGAAACTCCAAGGAGATTCTACGCCGTAAACTGTTCGATTGCATCTGCAAATGCACCTCACGTAAAATCCCATTTGGGCGAAGTTTAACGAATGAAGGTTGACACTGAAATTTTTTTTTTTTTTTTCAAGTTCCAGGTCATGGCAGATGCCATAGTTACTAGACAGTGATTTGCCTATAAACCGCAAGTTCACGATCGGGATTGGCATCTTTTTCCACCGTCACTGAGAGAGATAAATGCTGATATTCATCAACAGCTATTAAGCTCAGATCCAAAAGATGACGTGATACATGCAAGAGTGCTGGCAATTCTCAACAATCAATCACACATCCACAAATCACTCCAGGCCATTACCAGAACACCCAAATTTTCAGGTCTCCTTGTTCTCTCTTCGTACAAAGCATGATTCCCACTGAAGTACAGTCCAATATATGTGCTAATGTATGCTAATATACAAAAACAAATTAAGCTCGATACAGCTTCCGAATCCGAATACATTATGAGTTCTTTCTGGTTCTACTGCCATCTCACTTGATAAACAGTAACAAGATACCTTCACTAGCTAGGCCTATGCTCTCAAATTACAAGACGAGAGCAAAACTTAAAAGAATTGATGAACTTAGGAAAACAAACAACCACCACAGCAGTCCCCATAAAGTGCTTGGCCAAAGTGCTTCTGACAGTAAGTTACTTGATACCATGAAAAGATGGGAGAACAGCTATAAGCGGATCACCATAACCAACAGCTTCTGCATATGTCGTGTACAGATGAAAGTATAAGCCAATTGATTATTATCTCGTTCAAATGAATTACAGGCTTGTGCATCAATAATTTTCCTTTGTGATGCGCATCATACTAATTCAGCTTTGGAACCTTTAAAGAAGAATATAACAGCATCGCTTAGCCACATGAATATCATGTGTGTGTTATCAGTCCTTAAATTAACACTTGGTCAGCTAACAAAGATGATCCTCGTAGTAGTATTCAGTCTTTGGGAGAATAATAGTTGCTAGTTAAAATATCCAAAGTTAAACAACATGTTCATCCAAGCAAATGGTATACTTTGTCTAATAATGATGAAACTGGAGCAGATGCAAGGGATTCAAGGAAGAAGAACTACTTGCAATATAAAAACGTTCAAGAAATAATCCACAGAGTTCACATTATGGAAGCACATAATACCAGATACCAATAATGGCTAACAAACTTTAAGAACAAGAAATTTTTTTCTCAAAAAAAAAATTACTGATTATAAGCAATCAAACAGATCTCTTATAATTGGACCACAGGATAAGATGCACCAACAATCATGTCAATATCTACTTTGAAACTAGTTACTGGCTTTCTATTTCTATGTGGTTAAGTGAAACCAAATTCGAGTGTCCAAAATGACTAACTACGTTATGTCCCAATATAAACCACGGTCAACACCTTTTGGAGGCAGCATCGTATGATTCATGAACATGAATGAACAATGTTGTTTATTCTCCTAAAGCAGACCACGAAATCCCCCATAAATTAAGATTATTTGGTAAAAACCTTCTTTCCTATCAGATTATTTTGGAGTATGAAAAGTGAAAACTATAATTCTAACTACCAAATTAAACCCCCAAAACCTGCCAGGCCCCATATGACACGAGACTTAAAGTGAAACAGAATATGCACGTAAAGGGGCAATGATATCTTACCGCCATCATTGTAAAGAATCTTCAGAACTTCTCCAGCCACATCTGACTGCTCGGTCATTTTCCCACGGACGAGATGAAAGGAAAGGGGGAAAAAACAAAAGTATAAATTAATGATCATAAGCCATTATGGTGAAAGCAAAGCACCATTCAAAACATATATATGTATTGCTGTGCGGAGGTGCATACACAAACAGAAGGCTTACTTTAACAGGAAGTTCAGTGCCAAACTGATCCAGATAGCCTATGGTTTGTCCTTCTTTGATCAAATCTCCCTGCACATGAGAAGGAAATCATTGAATATGCACTAAAAAGCAAATCACAAATTGTTGAGTTGATTTTGGCAAAATTACAAAAACATGGTCATACCAAAAAACATATATAAGGAGAATAGTTTTACCAATTCTGAAACTATGCTGCATAAAAAATAGAAAAGTAGATGAGCAATCCACAGACGAGCCACTTGCCGAACAACCATAAATTGCCAATATAGATATGATGTTGTACTCCAAACCCTTCCCTTCCCAAACTTGGAATTTCAGGAGCAATTTTTAAGTGCAGAAAAATAAAGAGTTTCTGGAGGACTTTACAATTGGATAAATTCTGCCATACAAAATTACTAGGTTTTTGCAAACACAAATATTTTACCTAGAGCTTCTAAGTCCTTTCCGGACCCAAAGAATAGAGTGAACTTACCAGATATGTCATCACTGTCGCAGCTAAGTAGCAGAAAATGCAGAAAAAACAAAAAAACAAACAAACAAATGCAGGAACAACAGGAGATGTTATCTTTACATCATGCAGCTTCCTATTGCCTACAAAACCACTCCATTCCACCATAGCACCTTGAAGATAATGGAATAAAGACGCATTTCCTGTTCGTACCTCTTTCAGGATAGGAGGTTGCCTCTTTCCTTTCAAAGTCCTGCCTCTTCGGAATGAACCGACCTAATAAAGAAATAAAAGAGAACAGATAAGTATGCATGACCAGATAACAGGTAAATATTTGTAATTAATGGTTCAATGGTCGGTTATGTGATACATACTGTTGGAGATGCTGCTAGAACATAGCCACTAGCCCCTGAAGCCTCTAGTGCCGCTAACTTGGCTGACTTCTCTGCAGGGACATTTGTAAATGGGCTCATTTTTTCTGTAGAAGGTTTAGGTGGAGCAGGAGGAGGAACTGATTGATTCATCGGTTCACTTGGAATAGGTGGTGCTACGGTAGGAGACTCAACAGGTGCTGGAGCTATGGGAGGTTGAATATTTCGCTTCAAATGCATCTCAAAGTCCCCAACCTACGGACAAAAATGAACATCTCACTAGCCACCATAGTTTTTCAACATGCAGCTACCCATTGAAACCCAGCACCCAACAACTCTATATGATTATTTTCAATGTATGAAATGCATGACTTGTGCAACAAATTCAATTTCAACACATAGACGTGCCCACATTGCATGAAGACTTGCAATCACAATCTTATGCATTGACATTTAATATTTATTCGAGACACAAGTTTATGGTCATGAATCCCACTGACTCATTGGTACTAAATCCCTTATAACAGAAAATAAAGAAACCAGGAATACAGTAGACAATTCCATCGCCATTTCCTGGTTAAGGAAAATAATTGAAAATAAATGCCTTCACCAAGTAAACCTGCTTTCTAGACACAGAAAATAAATGCCTTCGCCAAGTAACCCTGCTTTCTTCTAAGGCTGATGATCAGAAAATGATCATTTCTCCCAATATAAATCTAACGAAAATTCTCAAAAACACAAATACAATTACCTTAACTCTCAGCTCTGCAATTTCAGTGTCATCACAGACTTCTGTGAGAAGTGCCTGATATAGAAAAGAAAAGATTCTCATCATGTGTTGTCAAATAAAGGAAATGTTGGAACATGTTTATACATCACTGTACGAACATGAGAGGCAAGTTCAAACAAGAAGAGTTGAAAAGAGAAGCTTTTGCAAGTATAGATAGAATCCAAGTTGATTTTCTTTACAAAATATCAAGTATGATTAACTTCAGAGCTTTCACATAAGCAGATCTTCGGTTGATGCAATTATACAAGAATATGGGCATCCACGAGCTTATAAAGACTACGGCTTAGAGAGAGAGAGAGATATAAAGAAGAAGGCTAAGGCTACAAACACATGAAAGTAAAACCTGACAGGTGTGATATGGCAGTAAATGCAATTATCATCTGTAAGTTAAACAAACGTGGATAAAATTCTTAGGTAATTGAAAAAAGAATATGCTATCACTTGGGCCAAAGAAAAAAAAAAGATCAAATAATAACTCTTATTGCAATAATCCCTCAGTCTATCACTTTCTTGCAACACTGAATGCATAGTGTTCACTCACGAATTTTCTTCACCTTATTAGTAATCAATGAATGAGAAATATGGAGAAGTCAAGCATAAACTTCGGGCAAACAATTCTGGAGTCTTCATCCAATCATTTGCAAATGATCAAAGAATAACTCATGCAAAAATCGGGAAGCATGACAATAGTTTTGATGCTTTATGCACTATCTCTAGTGTACTTTACTTGTATTCAAAGTTAAAGCTTACTATAGTGCACCAACCACCAAGGAAAGCATTGTCTCCATGCTGTTGATTACTTTTATTTTAACTCATTCTTTTACCAAGGCAAAGACTCTACTCACTCAAGAGCTCAAATGCAGAAAGCAATATTCTCTATGAGGACAGCATACCTTGAAACCATTGGGAAATGTTGCTCTCCGGATTGAATTCTTGGGACCTGACTCTTTTTGGGAACTATCTGACATAACAGCTCCATTAGACTTGCCTAAATCTGGGATTAAAGGTTTAAAAAAATGCTAAACAGAAGCATTTAACAAATCCTTGAAGAATGAAAATGAAAGAAAGTCAAACCCCAAGATCTTTCAGCTGTCATTTCTCATATTCCAAGGCAGATAATCAGCACTAAAAAGGAAAATATCAATGTCTATAAACTCCCAAAAAAAAACCAAAGAAGTTAAACTACACTAATCCATTGGTGTCCATTTTCCCACTTTTAAATGACTATCAAAAGAAGTGGAGATTAAAATTTCACACCAAATACCATGAAACGAACTTGGAACACCATTTCGTACCAGAACTTGGGAACTTGAGAGAAATTTGTTACAAAGAAAATTATGGCACAACTAAATCACAAGTAGGCAACTCACCATCAGATTTTGCTGTCACAGGGACTTCAGAAGTCTTCACACATGATACTATCACTCCTCCCATCTTACTTGTGGAAGAGATAAGCTTCCCGTTGTATGCCAATCCTTGGATATGGCACTTGGCAAGGCCAGAGAAGCCAACAGTAGTCATGGGAACCGCACCAGGTTTATCAATTATGGACTTAAGCGGAGATGTGATGCCTATGGAGTATAAAAAATTTACTATAAATATGAGAAATAAATTCAAGCAAGGATATATATAAGAACAAAAGAATTGTAGCACAAGATAAAGGCAAAGGAAGAAAGAAGAAAGAGAAGATTCCAAGTCCAATCATCTTAGTTAAGAATCAAATGAGCTCTTTTTATAATTTGGGGCACAAGCATATAAAATCCAGACCGGGGATGTAAAACGAGCTGTGGATAGACATCAAAATGGGAGATAGCTGAATCAAGTCCAAATAAAGCCTAGTACACGCTACCATTCTTCATAGTATTAGTTCTGGTCGACACAAATTGACAGTCTATAGTTGAAGACACATGCTGTCTCCACAACGTTATGGACTTGAGCAGTAGGATAAACCATGCATAATCTACACAAGCTCTTTGCTTCGCTTCATGGATAAAGGAAGCTCAAAATTCAATCTCAAATACGAATCGCACTTATATACCAGACTACTAGCGTACATGTGATACACATAATGTTAAGCTAAATAAATCGAGGTTCATCGGATCTACAGCCAAAACAACGCAATACAAAATGTGATTAAATGATTTATAACCAGTAATCGAAACAACTTAAAATCAGATAAGCAAGCTAAATCTAGGCTTTAATCCAGCATAGAATATCGTGCAGGAATCTATAATCATTACATTAGCAGAAATGCAGCATTTCATCGTTAGACACGTGAATAGTAAAAATCGAAAGAAAGAGGACGTTATATTACAGTGGAAGGAGCGGAGAACAGCGGCGGACTCCATCAGGAGAAGAAGCGGAGATATCTGAGAAGATGGATAGCTTACCAGCAACAAGGCTTCGAGGGATACAAAGTGGAGAGGAATTTATAATTAGAGAAATTTTTTTTTTTGTTGATGGGAAAAAGCGGAGAGAAGGGGGGAGGGGGGGGGGGGGTTGCTTGGGAAGGATTTACTGCGGGGAGCAGGGGGGGTCTTAGAGGGGCGGTTTGTCACTTTTGGGTGTGGGCTGATTAATTAGCTTTGAAATGTCCGCCCCCTCACATCAGTTTCTTCACCCACTGCTACTGGGCAAGCAGCTTTTGTGTATATTTTCCGCTTTCCATTTCCTAATGTGCGCTTCTCGTTGGCGTACCCGGATCTTCGTCTTATCCTGCGCCTCCTTTCTTAATTATCCGACATTTTCTTCTTTTTTTTTCTCCTTTCTTAATCAACCTAGAAAACGGATTACCGTTAAAAAAAGGGTTAAATTGCTCTATCGGCCCTCATGATTTCTCCTAATTACAAACATTCTCTTTTGGATTGTGAATCTCTTTTCATGTTGTTATTCTCTGTAGGGATTCCTAGCGAGAGTTTTTGATAATTTTTTAAATTTTTTATTAGATCTAAATTTTTTCAGATTTTGATTATCAGATCTGAAATTTTTTTGATCTATTTAACAAATCTGACTATAATATCTGGAGTTGAAGCAGTTAGTTAGTAGATCTACCAAGCATGCACAGATACCCGTGGAGTTACAATTATTTTATCTCGTCTTTTTAAATTTGAAGATTTATAATGTAATTTTCATTATTCTTTAGATCTGGAGTATCATTTCTTCATATCCGTTCTTTGATATCTGTGTATGTTTGTTGATGTAATTTTTGCCATCAATGTAAATTTTAATGAAATTATGATATTTCATCAACAAAAAAGAAAACTTATGAAGTGGCTAGAAATTAGGATTTCAGCAACAAGCAAATATGCTTGCAACTTCAAAATTTTCCTTAAATCTGATGAAGAACGGAATTCAGTAAAATAGTGGTTTATTTTAATATTCCTTCTTCCAATAACTTGGACCATGAGATACATAAGAAAATATTCCTCGACTGTTTATTTTAATTTTTGCATCTATCGCATACCTTACAAGGCATGAATAAGAGAGAAAAAAAAAAAAAAAAAAAAAAAAGAGTTCGTGCTATAGTACAATAATATCACTTAATTTGCCATTTTATTACATGTTGATTCTTGTCATTTTTCCTACTCCATTGCGAGTTCAAACTATTGTATATTCCATAAACAACAGAAGTTAACAGGCCGAACAAACGAACAAGCTGTTGAAGCATATACGCACAGCTACATTTCTGGAACAATTGTAGAATCAGTAAGCTGGCTGGCTACACCCGCACAGCAATCACCCCGTTTCGTCTAGTCAAGCAAGCATAAGATTAAGGACTTCTCTAAACTCTGCCCTCCGAGTCTCCGAATAAAGTGTTCTATGTTTATTAGGCCAATAAGTTAACCAAATCCATCCTCTGATCTCCCATTCCATCAATTTCCCCATGGCACCTCTGTCCACTTTCCAGCACACTTTATCCCCATACTCGTCACCAGCAAAAATAACCCCTCCATCCTTGTTAAATGGCCGATAAGCAGTGGCATAGCGGTTCTTGAACCAAGCCTTGGGCTGAAGTAACGCAAACTTGGAAGGCTTTGAAGAGAAAACCTCTTTACCATCAGCACTATCATGGAGAAACCAGTTGAGGATTGCACTATTGCCGTAGACGGACTGCTCGAATTTCCAGGGTCGCAAGCTCATTGTCATCGTTTCTCCTGCCGAAAAATTGATACCAACAAAAGGATTTGTTGGTTCCAATGAAGCTTCGATGGCCCTTTCTAGGCCAATTTCTCTTTTGGGATTCTCAGAGGATTTGCTTACCGATATGCTTATGATGTTTGTCTGCACGGTTGGAGTAATATGCAGCGATATCCGTGAAGGAAAGTGCTTTTCAGCTGTTCCAGCTCCCCTTTCGTTCATCAGTGCTTCGTTAACTAGCCTGATAACATCACACCTGGTCATGAGAAAATATTATTGTTTAGAGTCCAGTGAGTCACGATAATGGACATGAATTGTTGGCTTCATCAGGAAAATCAACGTACCTTATATTGTCTGTGTTCACCAACACTTCAATCTACTTCTCCCTAACTATAACGCTGTAATTCAGTTGAATCACGCCCTCAAGTTGATGATAGTTGAGAGAGAAAAGTAAGCGATCATCCGGTGAAGGATTGCTAGAGGTTTCGACATCCATGGCTATTACAGGACAGTACAACTGAACTTTCCACAAGCCAAACGCTGAATTTGAGTAAGAATACAGGGGAGAGGGAGCTTTTAGGCTATGACTCGACGCTTGGAGTTCAACAATCCAATTTGTAATCGCGAGGTTTATGGAACGCATCCATTGCTCTTCTACGTTTGATCCTAAGACTCTCATGAGCATTCTTGATACATCTCTTGATCGCGGGCATGAGAACTGATTTTTCAGAGTACTGAGACACTCAGAGCGGATATCGGAAGGGGCTTCATAGATGCAAATGAGGAAAGTCAGGGAGAGAAACGAGAAGTTGAAGATGTCTTTCAAGTTGAGACTCGAATCTATTGAAGGGAGCTTCAGCAACGAGGGGCATCTATTTGGAGAGTAGCTAAGGATATCTTCGACGAAGTTAAGCAAGAGATTGGAGACGGTTTCCTTGTCTTGTAATGTAGACTTCAGTTTGAACGGCTTAGAGGTCCAAAGGTTGACGGGAACATTATAAGCTGCAAGAATTGAGAGGGAGACAGATGACTGGAGAGATTTGGTTATCGATAGTTTTAGATGAGCCCGGGAAGACCTTGAAGAACATACGCATGTGGACATGGAATTCGATTTCCATTGAGTGATTGGTGGAAGGTTTTGAATCCAGGTCCATACATCCAGGAAGGAAAGAGAAGCCATTTGAAATTTCGAGCAAGGCTGGCTTGGAACAAGGCTTGTAAAGCTTCCAAGTTGTTTCTTTCTACGAATCAAACTCCACAGGCAGGAGAGATTATAAAGAAACTGGTGCGGATTAAACTTTACAGAAGCAAAAGATTTTTGACGAACTGGAAGGTCAAAAGTTATTATTACAAGATATACTAGCATAAAGTAACCAACAAACATAAAAAGCATCAAGGCAAGCAGTTGGCTGCCTTTAGTTTCCTGACGGAATTAGAAGCGTCTATAGACTTTCGTCCACTGAAGTTTCTTAATCACTCTCTGCCGTACCAAAGTTAAAGAGAGGGCTAACCAAATGCTTTAGGTATTTTGATTCCTGTGGAAAGTCTTTGTAAATTGGTGATTCTTGCATTACGAAGCCTTTTGTAATTGTCAAGCTATGTCGAGAATACGGGTCCAATGTGCCTAATTCAATATCATAATGATGGAAGTTTAATCCACCGCTATTCCTTGTTCCCCTGTTTTTGTAAGAGTTCATGAAGAGAAGATAGAGATGTACACGTTGGCTTTTACCAAGCCAAAGATTCTTCCCTTTGCCCAGATTTCTAAAGAGCTAGTAGAGAGAATCTTGTTCCCGTCTTATCAAGTATTGCTAACCTTTGACAAACGAACACTCGTAACTCTTCCTTAGCCCTTGGTATGGAACTGCAGATATTTTTTGTATTTTAGGGTTAATTACATTTACCTCCCCTGAGGTTTGATCATATTACCAATCAATCCCTGTAATTTGTCTAAATAACGGTCTCACCCTTTGAATAATCAAATATTTAACAAAAACCCCCTTAATGCCGAAAATGCCCTTATTGAGGCCATGTTGCACTAAAAAAAGAACATATTTTTATTTTTTTTTAACCCTGAAATAATCCAAAAAAATAGGAAAAAGTTTTTGCTTATTATTTTATAAAAAACATATCTTTACTTCCATAAATAGTTTTGAATCAATAATTATTTTAAATCTTAAAAATGAATATTAAAAATTAGATAAATTGAAAGAAAAATAAAAAAGAAGCAATTATTTTAAATCCTCAAGTATGGTTCGAATTTGTGGTTCAAGGCATGTTGCGGAGAGCACAAGGCATGTTTTCCTCAATTTGAACGATACTTCAGGAATTGAAATAATTTCTTCTTTTTTTATTTTTCTTTCAATTTATCTAATTTTTAATATTCATTTTTAAGATTTAAAATAAATATTAATTCAAAACTATTTATGGAAGCAAAGATATGGTTTTTATAAAATAATAAGCAAAAATTTTTTTCTATTTTTTTGGATTGCTTCAAGGTTAATAAAATAAAAATATGTTCTTTTTTTAATGCAACATGGCCTCAATAAGAGCATTTTCGGCATTAAGAGGGTTTTTGTTAAATGTTTGATCATTCAAAGGGTGAGACCGTTATTTGGACAAATTACAGGGATTGATTGGTAATATAGTCAAACCTCAGGGGAGGTAGATGTAATTAACCCTTTATTTTAAGTTTTTCCCTTTTCATAAGCAAGCAAGTCAAAACTTCGTACTTTTAGTTTTCCTGATTTATCAGGAGGCAAACATCTAAAAGTAATGAAATAGCAGCCAGCGTCCCGAATCTGAATCAACTTTGCACTCATCCAGCTCGATCTTACCTGATTAAATGACACAGACGCAAATCACTGCGCGGGGCATGAGATTAGTTTCGGCCGATGGATTCCATCATAAGTGTTTCCCTAGTTCCCTAATGCTTTTCAATAAAGCCATTTTACTTGCATGCAAATGTATCGTAAAAATTCAAGCACGCCCAGAGCCAACCTACACTTACTACTGATATTGTAAATCCTAATGCTCGACAAGGGTTCTACTTAAGCTAGGCCTGCCAATCAGATCATATATAAGCCGAGCTTTCATAAGTTCAGATTTAACTCATTTAATTTGTAACACTTGCGGGGTTCGGATCATGAGTTTCGAGGTTAATAGATGTAAAGATCATACTCAACTCACAAAATATTCGGATTTTTAATCATGTTCGGTTTTAGTCCAATCTCACTTATTAATCCTCAATTTTCTTAATATAATTACTATAACTATTAAGTTGTAAAACTAATTTAACATTCACAAGATTACAATATTAAAACTAAATATGAACAAGTAATAGCCCTTAAAAAGTACATAAATCAAGAATTTTTCAACAATATTTATGTCTAATTCGTTCAAAGTATATGAAAAATAGTAATAAAACATGCGATAGTAAGCCAATACATCTTCAATGGTTGGAATTTCTTCATAACT